AGAAAGAAAGAAAGAAAGAAAGAAAGAAAGAAAGAAAGAAAGAAAGAGGAAGAGGGAGAGAAAGAAAGAGGAAGAAAGAGAAATAAAGAAAAAAATAGGGAGATAGAGAGTGTGTGTGTGTGTGGTGTGTGTGTGTGTGAGAGAGAGACAGAGAGAGACAGAAGAAAGGAAGGGAGAGAAAGACAAAAAGAGACAAAGAAAGAGAAAGAAAGAAAAAGAAATACAAAGGAAGGGAGAGAGAGAGAGACAGAAAACTCTGGGCTATTATTTTTAATTGTTCCATTATATGTCATGTGTCAATATTTTACATTGTCCCTACACCTAGAATGATTCGACTGCCTTTCTTTTGCCCAGGGCTACCGAAAAATTTTCAGGGTTTACATGCAATGTCTATAGTCCAGAGCATAAATACATGTGTGCTTAAGAGTTGAAAGGGATTTTCGAGGTCTTCTAGTCCAACCCCCTGCTCAGGCAGGAAAATTGAGGATGCCAAACTCTAAGTAGAGGTCCTGGGAAAGGTGTCAGAATAACAGAATAACACTTAGAAGGGACTTTGGGGGGAACTCTATACCATTTCAGAGAAAGGGCTGTCCAGTCTTTTAATTTCCAGTAATTGATCACCCAGAACTTCTGGGGACAAGCAGGTCCACTTGTTAATTGTTCTCACTGGCAGGAAGTTTCTCCTTAGTTTTAGGTTGCTTCTCTCTTTGTTCAGTTTCCATCCATTGCTTCTTGTTTGCCTTCTGGTGCTTTGGAAAATACATCCCCCCCCCTTTCTTTCTGGCAGCCCCTTAAAAGCCTGTTGCCTATCACACTCTTGGGCAAAGCATGTGAGCCATTTCTTCCTTTCAGTGGTCCATGAAAGTACATCAACACTAAGTAGATAATAAAGTCAAAAAAGGTGAACAACATTTTTACAGAACTATAGATAAATTGAAGCTGGGTGTGACAAGGAATGGCTGGGAAGGGAGGGGCCAGGCAAGGCAGCCCTCGACATGCAAATTGTTTGACAACAGACACAGGTCAAAACAGAGTGACTGGATTCAGTAGCAAGGCTGTACAGGTAGTCATTGATTTCAACCATTCATTGAGTAATCATTCAAATTAACAACAGTGCAGAAAAAAGTTACCGACAACCGATCCTTGCACTTATGACCCTCACATCATTCCATGGTCATGTGATTGCAATTTGGGTGCCTGGCAACCAGCATAAACATTAAGTTGGCCACACCCACTCAGTCACATGACCACCAAGCCATGGCCACCCAGTCACATGGACACCAAGCATGCCTACCCAGTCACATGACCACTAAGCCATGCCCACCCAGTCACATGACCACTAAGCCACACCCACAGTCACATGACCACCAAGCTATGCCCACCAAATAAGCCACACCCACAGAACCGGTAGTAAAAAATTTTGAATCCCACCACTGGACTGAAGACTAAAACATACAGGATGGCTACTCTAGTGAAGAGAAAGATCAGGGAAGACATGATAGCAGTCTTCAAATATTTGAGGGGCTGCCACAGAGAGGAAGGGGTCAAGCTATTTTCTAAAGCACCTGAAGGCCAGAAAGGAATAATGGATGGAAACAAGGAGAGATTTAACCTGGAAATAAGGAAAAACTTTCTGACAGTGAGAACAATCAACCAATGGAACAGCTTGCCCTCGGAAGTTGTGGGAGCACCATCACTTGAGACCTTCAGGAAGAGATTGGACTGCCATTTGTCAGAAATGGTGTAGGGTCTCCCGCTTGGGCAGGGGGTTGAACTAGATGACCTATAAGGTCCCTTCTAACTATGATTATCTGTATCTGTATCATTTCTTCAAGGTTTCGCAGACTCGCTGTGATGACATTGTGGCTTCCAGTGGTCCGTGGACTACAGGTTGAGAACCACTGGTTTAGGGTATTCTGTTCCTAATAGGAAATATATTTGACCAACTCTACATATTGTAAAAATGCATTCATATATGTGGTAAAGTGTGTAGGACTATTTTGATGCCTATTGTTACTTGTGCCGAGTGGAGAGAACAACATGAACTAACATGGACACAACTTTAGAATTTGGCTAGTTTGTGCATGTACCACTTATTAAAATGTATACAGAGAAAAAGAAATTAGGTACAGCAGAAGACTAAGAAAAACAAATAATAGTGATAGAATTTGCTAAATATAACAGGGAAAGTCTCCATTTTCCAATATACAAGGTTTGAGCACCATTAATGGAGATTCTCAAACTGGAGTGTGCCACCAATAACTCTGGGACTTACATTTTTGCGGCAAGCGAGATACAACCAAACTGGAGAGAACTGTCAAAATTTGTTCTAGCATCACCAAAAAAAAAAAAAAAAAAAAGTTTGTGCAGGAAGCATAAACAGAAAAGCCCATGAATAGTTGTTATGATACTCCAGGCCTAGGTAGAGATCCGGGTATTACCTCCACAAACAAGCCCTCAGGGGGACCAATGAAACAACAACTTGAGTTTTGAGTAGAAGCATGTGTGGAAGTGTTGCTATGATTAAGAATCTCAGGAATATTTCTACCACTGCTCAAGTCAGGTATGGGCATATGAACGGTTGTTCTCCAATCTGCCATGAAGTGACAGCTTAGTTAAATAGTCAAGACAAGGGTATAATTTTCAGTACAAGGCCCAGGAATAGAGACCAACCTCAGTAAGGCAAATTGTTTGGCAACAGACACAGGTCAGAAAAAAACAGAGTGACTGGATTCAGTAGCAAGGCTGTACAGGTAGTCATTGATTTCAACCATTCATTGAGTAATTATTCAAATTAACAACAGTGCAGAAGAAAGTTACGGACAACCGATCCTTGCACTTATGACCATCACATCATTTCACGGTCATGTGATTGCAATTTGGGTGCCTGGCAACCAGCATAGATTTACAATGGTATCCAGTTGTCATATAATTGCCATTTGCTACCTTTCCAGGAACCTTTTGACAAGCCAGCGAGGGAAGCTGGATTTGCTTAATGACCACATGACTTGCTTAACAATCATAAAATCAAGTGCAACTCACTTAACATAGACATTGCTTAGTGATGGAAGTTCCAGTCCCAATTGTGGTTCTAAGTTAAGGACTACCTGAATCAGCAAAAATGCAGAGCTATCAGAGCTCACTCCATTCCTACTTTGACTGGTAAAGCCAGTAGCTGACTTAGCAAGCAAAGTGGAAAGAACAAAGATCCAGCATCTTTGGATTGCCAAACTCATGGCCAAGCAAAGAGAAGAGGAGGGAGAGAAAACTTGGAGTTCATTTTGACAATGTTCCTATGTTTCAAGCAGAAGTGGATGCAAAATGGAAGCATTTTTTGAAATTTGTGCTACAGATTTGGGTAACCCTAGAGATATCCATTTATCAAAACATTCCACCACCAATCAATCAACCACCATTTCATTTATTTATATTCATTAGCCAGGAATTCCTTGCATTACCATTTTATAGTATCAAGTGATTCACTTGGCCACCTTCAAACCTTGCATTATCTTACCCTCTGTTTCCGCAAACTTCCTGGGCTAGTAGGAGAAGGGCTTGGAGACTTCCCAGAACGGGGAGTAGAAAGCTGACTTCCAGGCGTTCCATTAACTAGAGAAACATAAGAATGGACAAGAAAATATGGTTTTGGACCTGGCACCTCTATAATTAAACATCAAATAACATATTGCTCATATTAGCCGATGCTTTCTGCTTTGCCCTTTTGTAGTCTGTGTACTTCTAATAAGAATTAAGTAAAGATACAACTCTGAAGCAATTAATCACTATAATGTGGGCTGCTCTGTATTCAGTTGGTGTACAGTTTACTTAATAAGTGATTGACCAATTTGTATTCAATATGTAGCCGCAATGAAATTAAAAGTATTGTCTGCAACTCTGGACTGCTTATCCATGCAAAATATATATATATATGCAAGATTATACTTGCTCTTAAAAAAAACCTTGAACAATTGGTCTTTCCCCCTCCTTTTTAGAGATGAGAGGATGTTTTAATATTATCTGTTAGAAATATCAAATTATTGCATTATATTAAAAGGACATTTACTACTACTGATAATTACCTGGAGTTGTTGGAAAGATTTCTGTGTGATATATTTGACCTAAGCATTAATGCATATAGGACTCTTCGATTTACAAGATCACTCACTCAGCCTTTCATAGTTGCTTTCATAAAACAAGAGACTTCTAAACTGTTGCTATATTTTCTGCAGTTCCTTTCTACTTACATAACATTTGCTTTATCATTTAATACAAAAACTTCACAGCTGTGTAGAATAAAAATCATAGGCAAATAATGCTAACACTGCACTGAAAAGAGAGGAGAGAGAAAGAGAGAGAGAGAGAGAGAGATATGCTATATAATAAAATGTCTTCTCAAACATGCTATGGCTAGGTCACAATTACATATACATCAGCCATAAAAAAGCAGTAACCAGCAGACATCCAAATACTCTATTTTGTATTGATATTTCCAGCCATGATACTAATAAGGCATCGTACTTACCTTCTATGAGTTCTAACATGGAAACAGACTTATTTTTAACCTGATAAAGCCAAGCAGGAAAATATTTGCCTTTTGTACTACACTCTGGCACTGGCAGAAACAGGAAGCGTTAGGATTAGTTAAAGGTTGCCAAAGCAGCTCACAGAGAGAGCTGAATAAAATGCCGGATTCATAACCCAAAGCTTTTTCTGCGTAAGGCTGACGTCTTCCAAGCAGCAGTAGGAGGTGTAGGTGCCGTCTTAGGGGCTACATCAAAGGTGTCAATACACAACGCCACAACTTCAGGATGTTGAGCAACTGCAACCCTCACTCTGATCTGCCAAGCCCCCATAGCCTTAGCAATCTTATATGCTGCTGCACATTGAATCATGATGAAGTGCCTTTGGGAACAATATACCAAATTACTCATCTGAAGATCACAATAATAATAATAATTTTTATCAAAGCCTAGCTGACTAGTAGTCTCCGAAATGCTACACCCAGTGGAGAGAGAACTAGATTTTAAAACATTGTCAGATGGGAAGGACATTTTTCTTTCCCATCTGCCAACTATGCACAGTGATAAATATTCTGCCCAGTTACCTAGATGATCTGTTCTTTATTCAGCTCAGATATAAAAAGCACTTTGTGGAATGATAATTAACTATTACAATACTGTTATGTTAAATTTGTCTTTGGAAGCTTGTTTTTTGCACATTGTATTAGGATAGGAAAGTTACAGCATTAGCATGAAGACGGGAAACTGTAGCCTTCCAAATGTTGCTTAAAATAATCCCTAGCAGCCCTGGCTAAAAGCTAAAAAACATCTGGAGGCCAAAACGATAATAAACTTCAAATTAGTTCTTGAATTCAATTACTATTACAGCCGAAAGGCTTACCATTAAATTCAGGAAATCTGCTGTTTAAATCTTATGAACTTTTGGAGAATTTTTGGTGAATTAATGCCAAAGACATTTGCTTGTGAATCACCACTCATTCATCAATAATATTATTGGTGGGGTATGCTTAGACATGGATAATTTATAAGAGATAACAGGATATTCTAAGGGAGGAACACTGACACCAATGTTGCCAACAACATATTACTGCTAGCATGATTAATTGCTTGCTTCTACATAATTTTCTCTTGGAATTAAGGCATTTCGTTGAAAGACTTCTGTTTGATTACTGTTTCCCTAAACGCTTATTTAACTTTCAAGCAAAAGCCAATGTTTAGAGATGGAAAGTACATTTTAAATGGTAAAAACTCTCTTCGTAATATCTCTAGTTCAAAAAATTGAAATCCTGTAGCAGAAGGAAAGTTCTATTAGTGTAAACAATAATAAACTAATTGAAATGAAAGTCTGATTCAATTTCTATTTTCCATTGCCTCCTCCATCCATCTCACCCTAACATTTCTCAGAAAAACACAATGAACGTTCTGGAGATTATATATTTTATGCAATTACATTAGGAAGACAAGCAAATAGATATCGTCTCACTTCTGCAATTCTGATGCTTGTTTGCATTTTATTTGTGAAGCTAATGATGGAAAGGAACACATACCCCTTTCCAAAATAATATATCTCCATAGGATGCAGAAGATGCCATCTTGTTAATATTGGCATTAAGTGTCAACCTCACACAAGACCCTGACAAAGTTACAGTGAAGAAATTACTGATGAGGTACAAGAAAATCAGGAGAAGGGAAATACTGGATACTGGTGTGCTGTTTTTTATATTCTACAAAAGTAACCTTTCTAGGACTGAAAGACCAGAGTTTAATTGACTATGCAGACAATGTAGCAGAACTTGAAGTCTTATCTTTTGTTCTATTTTTAAAAGCCGATGGACAATTCTACTCTTATATAAAGCACTGGCATAACAATAATGGTAAAAACAGCTGGAGAAAGAATTTTAGAAAAGGGTAATTTATTACTCTGCAAACTAATATTAGTTTGCTGGCATAATGGTCTTGATTGCATCTTGAAATTTTAGCATTAACAAGTTGGAAGTGAATAATGGATCATACACACTTAGAACTAGAGCTGGAATTTCCATCTCCACCCCTACCATAGTCCATGTAAAAATTAAAGTATTTATAACATATGCCTCTCCAACTTCTGTGTGCGCTCATTCAGTAAATGAAAATCAATCACCACTCTGGAAGATTTTACTATTAAACTTCTCTTGAATTGAAATAAGGAAGAAGAATTTTAAAAAATTCCTGGCATATTAATTACAGTATAACTCATCAAGGTATTTCTGATATTTGATATTTGTCTTGTTCTATGATATAATTCATTCTAGCATATTGGGTAGCAGGTCTAATTTAAATAAAAAACCAAGAAAACAGGATGGGGGTAGTTTGAGATTAATATCCTTTACTGATAGTATACTCTATAATTTGTAGATAGATTGTTCTCAGGGTTCAGTGGCAAAAGGTCTAGCTCAAAAAGTAGCCACAATTTAGACTGAAGATCCTGGTACATGGTTTGGAATACACAGTAGACATTCTTAAGCTCAAGTAAGAATCTGAGACCATGCACCTTACTTTTTGGTTTTATTGCTATTTCAATAATAAAAATGGAAAAGCAGGGGAAAAGGCATGTGCTTCCCCAGCTAAGCTTCTATCATGAAATCCTTGCAGACAAATAAGATTTCCTTTGCTATGCTGTGTTAATAATATTTACAAAAAAAAAAAAAAAGAGACTAAAATAAGATCACACGAGATGTCTTGGGTGCTTTATCATGGATCAAATTCCATTAACACTGAAGTCTTCATGACAGTTTATAACATGGGTGTCAAACTTAATTGTGTCACATAACATCACATGACATATCGCGATGTTTTTCCCCTTCGCGGAGCTGGGGTGGACGTAGCCTGTGTGTGATACATCTGGCCTTTGGGTCGCCAGTTTGACACCCCTGCTTTATAATAAGAAAGTTGTTCACATTCACACCATCATAACTCTACCCTACACAGAAAATTAGATGTAAAATACAGGTAGTCCTTGACTTACAACAGTTCATTTAGAGATTGCTTGAAGTTACAACGAAAAAAAGTGACTTATGACCATTTTTCATACTTATGACTGTTGCAGCAGCATCCCCATGGTCATATGATTTACATTTGAATGTTTGACAACTGGTTCATATTTATGACAGTTGCAGTGTTACCTTTTGGCAAGTAAAGACCATGGGGAAGCCAGATTCACTTAACAACGGTGTTACTAATTTAACAACTGCAACAATTAACTTAACAAATGGCAAGAAAAGTCGTAAAGGGAGGAAACTCACTTAAGCTCAATTTTTCACTTATACAGATCCTATGTATAAACTGCAATGAGCAAACCTGATCATTCTCAGTATTAAACTTGAAATCCTCCTGTACAATCACTGAGATCTTCTAACTAATTCAGAAATAGAGAGTACTCAATATAGCATGAAATTCCTTTTCTTTCCCAAACATCTACTTTAAAACACACAAAAAGATAAAGGATTAGAGGAACATTCCATAGCAAGTCGCCCTCAAAAATGATATACAACCACAAAGCTTTCTTCTATTAAAATTTCTAGATCTTTAAAATAAGGAAAAAGTGGGTGTACCTATTCTGTTTTCTACCACAAATGTTTCTTTCAAAGAATTTGTATGAAACTTGTGTGAAAATATGAAAATATTTACAGACCCTTCACATCCTGGACATAAACTGTTTCAACTCCTGCCCTCAAAACAACACTGTAGAGCACTGCACACCAGAACAACTAGACACAAGGACTATTAATCTTCTCATTACTCCTTATCACCCATCCCCTCCCACTTGTTACTGTATAACTGTAATTTGTTGCTTGTATCCTTATGATTTTATTGACTGTTTCCTAGTATGATTCAATTGCTTATTGTACCCTATGACTGTTATTAAGTATTGTACCTTATGATTCTTGACTCTTGACAAATGTATCTTTTCTTTTATGTACACTGAGAGCATTTGCACCAAGACAAATTCCTTGTGTGTCCAATTACACTTAGCCAATAAAGAATTCTATTCTATTCTATTCTATTCTATTCTATTCTATTCTATTCTAT